TGAATGTCATCTACCTTCTTATCACGCCAAGAATCCTGCATCTCTCTGAGTTTCACTTGTACTTTAGTTTTGATGGAGTTAAATGCTGCCTTTTTAGAGGTGGATGAATTATCCTGCTAGTAAATCCTGTAGAGTTCTTGTTTTTCATTTAGCAGCTTCTGAATTTCCCCATTATTTTTGTCAAACCAATATTAATGTTAGCAAATGTTCTGGCCCATATGAATAAAGGCAGTGCTGTACACCAAATCTGCCCACTCCTTTTCTGTTTTGCTGTTGCCAACCACATTGTTGGCAGTTTTCTTTCCAGGGTAGCAACAAACTGTTCCCTCACAGAGAAGCATTCTAATCTGTTGACATTAAATCTTTTGGTAGTTGTCCTACCTTGGAACTGCAGATTGTTTAGCTTGGAGATGAGAAGTCTATGATTGGTCCAGCATTCTGGGCCACACTTGGCATTGTTACTCTCACATCCTGACTATCTTTTCTCCTTACAATGAGATAGTCTATTAAATAGAAATGTTTGCTGAAAGGGTGCATCAATGAAGTATTACTACATTTAGGTAAGTGGAAGTCAGTGTTGGTGATGAGAATGTCATGAGACACACAATCAGCAGATCATTGCTGTTTCTGCCTCCATTCCTCCCAAGCACTCCCTTTCATGTCTGATAGTCTGTGCCTACTCTGGTGTTAAGCCACCCAGAATTACAAGCTTGTCCTCTTTCAGCACATTGCTGATAAGCATCTCCAAATCTTCATAAAATTTTCTTTGACCCCAGCAGGATTCATTATGGTGGGAGCTCATGCACTGATGATGGCGGTGGAGTGCTTGCCTGCAAGTGGCAATCACATTGTCATGAGCCTGTCATTCACTTCTTTTGGGAGGCATGCAAGTTTGCTTTGATTTTGAAACCTACACCAGCTTCAGGGTACTCCCCATCACTGCAGCCACTTCAGAAAAACACGTACCCGGCTCCAACTTTGGTAAGGTGGCCTTCATTTGTCAACTTTGTTTCATTCCAGAATACTATTTGGGTGTGATGCCTGCTGAGTCCTCTTGCAACAACAGCTGTTTCTCTTTCAGGTCTACTTCATTTCCTGTTGTTTATAAGTATACATACCTTCTATATTCCAATGATGAGTGGAATCATCTTCACAAAAGTTTTTGTGCATATTTTTGTGTTTCCATGTCAGGGTAGGATCCGGTTAGGTTAGGTGAAACAGACAGTTTTTAAGACATCTTTTCTAGACCCTTCTTCACACCAGCAGGTGATCAGTGTAGTCCTTAAAAAATTGCTCAGATGGAGAGAAAATTTGGAACTCAAAATCTTGTGGAAGTGAATGTTGAAAACTAAAAATAAATAAATTAATAAAATCTGAAAGAAAAAAACTGCTGAGACACCTAGGGGGCTGTCAAATACCACTGTTGCTTCAGTCCAGTAAGAAGACAACCCTATGGCCTGGGTGCAAGGTTATGACTATAGCTCCCAGTGTATCCACACCTTTTGCTTTTTTGTCTGTCTCTTGTCACAGGTCTTTGAGATAAGTAAAAATGGTAAAATAGCATGGCTGATGTCTTTTGACTTATGCACAAACTGGATTTCAGTGAGGCCAAGTTGGGCAAAGTGATTGACTTTGTTCTCTCTTCCAGAGTCATCAAAGTCCAGTGGCAAGACAAAAGTCAAAATGACTAATGACGGCTCAGAATGTAGTGGGTGACCTTGGCATCTTCAACATCTGACCAAGCTCTCAGCTCTCCAAAACACCTGCCTCTTCCACCTTCATGGCCCATTGGAACAAATTGTTCACATTTGCCTTTCCTGCCATGGAAGTCTTTACATGCTTGGGGTAGACATTCCCCTAACTCACCAATGGTTTTCAGGCTCCTTGGTTATCCTCAACCTAGGTTAGCCTATCTGCTAAAACAGTTTACAAGGGTGTGGGCACTGTGAATGTTACAGCTGCTTGGAGCCACATATGAGAGTTGGGTGTCAGATGGATACCAAAGGAGGAAAGCAGTCCTGAAAAGGTCTTGGCAACTCTCACACCAAACAGTACTAGTTTTCTCCAAACACTGTATACCCCAATTAATAAATGCTAGTTTCTTATTGACTAAGTGAGGGAATTAAACTCTAAAAATTTTTGAGTTATCTATGAAGAAAATCTTTACAGCATATGGTCTCCTATTTTAAGGAGTCATTTGAACAACTCTGCCATTAATGGACCAATAGATGCTATTATCTTTATTATTAACAAAAAAAATTTACTAAGTGCTTGGACTGTTGCCCTAGATGTTATAAAAATGACTCCCCAACAACCTAATACAACATTGATTTAGACACAAAAAATTTACAGTAAACTCAAAGAGTATATACATTTATTTTCTCAATATTTTGTATAAAAGAAGGAAAGTTTATCATGGCATGTGCTAGAACAGATTACCAACTGTCATAGTATCAATCCTTATGAAAGAGACAAAGGCTATGGGACATTAAATATTTAGAAAATGCATCTCCTGAGAAGATGGTCGTTAACTCTTTTCCACGTGAATGCTTAAATGAAAGAAGAGAGAAAGAAAGAAGAGGACAGTAGACTGTAAGAAATTATTCTGAGATTTCTTGCTTAGGAGAGTGGTCAGTATGTGGCATGGTTACAGAAAAAAATCAAGCATTGGAGAAAGATAAGAAAAAAAATCAGAACTTCAGACATCATATATATATATGTATATATATGCATATATATATGTGTATATATATATGCATATATATAATTGCTAATCAGTATAATGATGACAAATCTTTTATTAAAGTCCTATCCAAATTGTGCATTTCATTAAAACATTATTATGCCTAATTCATTTCTGTAACTAAAGAGTCATCTTCTTCCTTATATCAGCCAATCATTTGCAAACCATTAATTAATTAATTTATTTATATTATTGGTGCAGAAAAAAAAAGAATAAAATAATACCTACTCTAGAGGAATTTACATACTAATGTAGAAACAAGCATGTATACAAGTATTTATAGAATAAATTTGAGATAAATACAAATAAAAATATTTAGAGAAGGAAGACACTGGCATTTGTGGGCTCAGGAAAGGTTTCATGTAGAAGGAAATGCTTGAGTAATGGTTTGAAGTAGATGGGGATTCTCTAAGGCATAGGAGGAAGTACCAATCAGACATGGGGCAGAGCAAAGGTACAAAGATACAATTTAGACCGTCATATACATAAAGATAGATTGGGGCCAGGTAGTTGATGGCTTTAAAAGCTTAACAGAAGAGTTTTTATTTGATCTTAAAAGTAAAAGGGAGTTACTGGAGTTAGTTGAACAGGAGAAGTCACATGATCACATCTGAGCCTTTAAAAAAATCACTTTTGCACCTATATGCATGTAGATATGTGAAAGCAGATGTATGGAGTGGGGAGAGATTAGAATCATTTAGGAGGGTGTTGTAATACACTAGATGAGAGGTGATGAAGGCCTGAATTAAAGTGATTAAAGTAGTAGCTCTGAGTAGAAAGAATAGATTAGATGTGAAAGATGTGAAAATAGAAATAGCAAGATTTGGCAGTTGGATGGATATGTGGTATGAAGGAAGACGAGGTGTCAGAGATAGCACTGAGGTTAAGAACCTGAGAGACTAGAAAAATGGTGGTGCATTCGATTATGAAGTTAAGAAGAGGGGTAAGTTTTTTGAGGGAAAGCTAAGTTCTGTTTTGGATATTTTGAATTTGAGATAGTATTGGCAGATCCAGTTTGGACTGTCCAGTAGAGTTGGTGATGTCACACTGGATATATAGATCTGTGAGTCAACACAGAAAACAATGATAGTTAAAACAGTGGGAGATTCAGGAGAGAGAGAGAGAGAGAGAGAGAGAGAGAGAGAGAGAGAGAGAGAGAGAGAGAGAGAGAGAGAGAGAGAGAGAAGAAGAAGAAGAAGAAGAAGAAGAAGAAGAAGAAGAAGAAGAAGAAGACGACGAAGAAAGGAGAGGAGAGGAGAGAAGGGAAGGGAAGGGAAGGGAAGGGAAGGGAAGGGAAGGGAAGGGAAGGGAAGGGAAGGGAAGGGAAGGGAAGGGAAGGGAAGGGAAGGGAAGGGAAGGGAAGGGAAGGGAAGGGAAGGGAAGGGAAGGGAAGGGAAGGGAAGGGAAGGGAAGGGGATCCAGGAGAGAGCTTTGGGGAATACCTTAATTCAGTGATATGATATGGCTGATGAACTAGTAAAGGATAACCATGAACAAATAATATGTTAAAATGCAAGAGGAGAGAGTATCCAGGAACAGAAAGTGGTTGATAATGTCAAATAACAAAGAGATCAAATAACTTGATGATTGAGAATATATGATTGGATTTGACAACTCAGATCATTGACAGTATATCAATTATTACAGTTTATATGGTTTCACATTCTGAAATGGGGAAACAACCAAACACCTACCATCTGTAAATGAGTCATTCCTTACTTCTTAATTCTTATTCTTTTTTTTTTAAGAGTGCATTGACAACATGCTTGGCAAAGACAAGTTTAAACAGATACAAGGTTCACTGTGAGCTCTACTTTCCATTTTCCACCTCAAAGAATCTGAGCTTTGGAATGAGACCATAAATTAAAGGTATCATTAGGTTATTATTTTTGTAAGGGGTTTTTGATTCCAAGATCAGTTTGTAAGAAACCTGGCTGACAAATAAAATAAAATAAACACTGTTGCTGTGAGGGAAAGACTTCTAGATAATATGATTGTCTCATATTACCTTTATTTCCTATAGATTAATAATGTATAGACAACGGATAGATAGTAGCTTATGTTTGTTTCCCTTACCCTCACTGCTCCAGTGTGTAAAGAACTTTAGTAATAACCCTTCACAGTGAATCTTGAAAGATGACAGGACTATGAAGAAAAGGGTGAACTGCATTACATTCCCCAAAACAATGTGTTTTCTCTCCTCCCCAGTTTATCTTCTCAGCCTTTGTGTTTAGGAAAGCTGGTTTCTTCCACTTACTTATCTCACTTAAATATTCTTGTCTGGACAGGTTCAAAAGCAGTCAAATGAAGAACATGGTTTTAAACAGCAACAGTTAGGTCAGGAAAAGCAGACAGTTTGGTGTTTTCTCGTAAGGTACAGCTATGCTCTGAAATAAGAACAGGAGTGAAAGAACCTATCTTTGCAAAAGGAACTATTTTTTAATATTTTTTCAGCTGTGTAGATTTCAAGCAGGGAATAGAAGTAACATTCTAATTGTAGGTGAAGGAAAAGAGGGAAGCAAACATTATCTAAAAATAAATTAACTTTTGCCTTTATTAGATGAGAACTAGCTATAAAGGATCATCATTTCTTTTTTTAAACTTACCTTTAATCAATCTTATAAAATTCCAAATTGACTTGGACAAAAAAAAAACAGAGCTCCAGGTTTCTTACATTTTCAAGATTTTATTCAGCCACCTTTAACCTACTATCACTGTTATAAGAAAAATCTCACTTTCAATAAATTCTGCTAAATGAAAAGATGAAGTAGTTTGAACTATGAAATCATAAAATGGCTATGAACTATTTTATGTATATGATTACATATATGAGTTCTGGCTTCACTACTATGCCTCTCTTTGCTTAGAATGAATCTTGAATTTTGAATCTGTTTTAATCACTAATTGTTTCTGATTAGATAACCCTGAATTCCCAATTCACCTTTTAGGTTTTTTTTTATTATGAACGAACATTGATAAATGTGAACATTTCAGTATACTTAGTTGATCAACAGCTTTTTAGTTTGTCTTCAGAGAAAGAATTGGTAGCAAGCACCAAACAATATCACAAAGAATGAAATAGGGGTAAAGCAATCAGATTGGATTAAATATATAGAGATCCATGCTGGAGGAGACACAAATGTGAGGGAAATGAAGGAACTGCATACAAGCTATCTGAAGGAAAGGAAGATAGCAGAGATCTTTTTTAAAAATTCTCATGCTTTGTTAATACTCCCAAAAGGTGATTTAAAGAACATCAATAATAATTGAATTATATAGCTGCTCTCATATCTTTCCAGCACTTTTATGATGGTCTTCTAAACATGAATTGAGAGCATCACCAATGAAGGTCTTAGTTGCAATTAAAAGTGATTAATTGGGAAAGCAGGCTTTCATAAGTGGTACTCAACTATGAACCACATCAACCATCTCACAAGCATATGGGATCAAATATAAGTTCCCATTGAGCATTTTTTCTTGATGAGGAAAAAGCATTTGATGTGGCAAAATCATCATGATCTTACAGGTTTTTACATTAAATCATTGCCCATAGATATTTCAAAATTAGTCAAGATTCCTTGATAAATTTAACAATAGAAAAAGCCCCATTCAATAATCCTGTGATCTCAAAAATCAGATGAGGTATAATACAGAAACATGTATGCTCACCAAAATATTTGCCCTTCTGATAGAGGAGATTCAGTGCAGAGTTCAATTTGAGAAGGGATTCCAAAGTTCCATTTGAGTATTTCAGAGTTCTAGCACTACTATACTTGTATTTTTAGCCCTCATTGTCCTCTTCTGAATTTCCTTCTGCTCTATGCTGTGTATTTTTAAAATGTTTCATTGATGGTCTTGGCTTCATTATTACTATCAGAATTAATCAGGGACCCCTGATTAGCTAGATTAGTCAGAACTCAACAGTACCTTCTGATTAGTTAGATCTTCCCCCAAATTTCACTTAAGGAGGGCAACCAGGGTATTCATCTCTTCATTTCCCGCCCTGCTACTCTTCTTTGAACTTCTCCATCATACCCCCAAGAACTAAACATTTGTTAAGATTATACCAGCCTTGGTACTCATGCCTCATCAGTACTCTGCTCCTGGAATACCTCTGATTGGAGAATAAGGAGCTCCTCTCCAAATCACCATTCAAATAGGACATCCAAGACAGACATCTCTTACCTGAAACATTCCTTTTAGAATTCTCCATCATGCCCTCAAGTTACTTACCTTCCCCAATCTCTTTTGAGCTTCCTTTTGTATATTGCTTTCCTCCATTAGATGGTAAGCTTCTTGAGGTCAAGGACTGTCCTTCTTTCATTTATTTGCATATTTCAGCACTTAGTACAGTGTCTGACATATAGTAGGTGTTTAGTATATTTACTTACTGACATCTCACCTCATTTTATTTCATATCACTCCTCTTTTCACTTTTGTTCTAGTCAAACTGACTTATTAAGTTTTCTGTACATAATTTTCCATCTCCATAGGTGGTATCCTATGTTTGGAAAGCATTCCTTCCTCACCTGTTGGGGGTGGGGTTGGGCAGGGGCACTGTGAAAAAATTTTTGAGACACTGAGGATATTGTGAACCAAGAAAGTTTAGAAACCTCTGGATTAGTGTAAGACCCACCCAAGGAAAAGGCTTTTTATTCCATTCAAAGGGAAGTTCCCTCTCATTCAGAAGAGATTCTAAATCTTTTATTCCAAAGAGATTTTCAGTTTTGATTTCTAAGATGAGTCCTATTGATTCTTTCCAGAGAATGGTCCAGGAAGGAATGAGATGGTACTTTGTTACTCAATTATTCTGAAATGTTAATACTAAAACTGCATTTAAACATATTATGATCTTTCTTAAAATTACTATGTTCTTGGGGTGTAAAGACATGTTGGAGGGCATGGAGGAACTATGGATTGCTCTCTAGGAAATGACTTGAATTTTTGTTGTTCAGTCATTTCATCTCTGACTCTTCATGACCCCACTGGGGGTTATCTTGGCAGAGATACTGGAGTGGTTTGCCATTTCCTTCTCCAGCTCATTTTACAAATGAGGAAACTGAGACAAAGAGGGTTAAGTGACTTACCCCAAGGTCACACAACTAGTAAGTGTCTGAGGCCAGATTTGAACTCAGGTTTTCCTGATTCCATATCCACTGTGTCATTTATCTGCCCTTTGATTTGGAGATGTTAAATTAAATAAAATGTTTCTGGCAGAATTGTACTGAAGACACACAGTCTGCAATATGAATATATATTCTTTCACATTCATTCACAGGTTGTTACTGAGAACACATTGATTATAGTAAATAATTAAGCCAACTTGCATATTTTGGTGAAAACACATTATTAAAGATGCTATGTAAATATATCTGTATCTGATAAGAGAAATTTGTTTTTAAAAAGATGTTCACAATTAATTCATAAACCTAAGTTTAATTTGGGGCAACTGATGTGTTACTTGTATTTATGCTTTCACACTTTGCACAGAAGAATTCACTATCCTTAAATTCTGAAGTAAAACTTTTAATTTAATGAATACATATTTATGTAGCATTTTGAGATTTTGAAAATGATTATTCTCTCAATGTAATTATCATTACCCCTATTTTAAAAGATAACAAAACTGAAACTCAAAAACTTAAGTGCCCAAGTTGAGCTAAGAACCCAAGAGTCGCCTGGACTCAAATGACAATATGCTTTATACTATACCATGTGGGCTGAGATTTCTGTAGAACAACTTTAGGTGAACATTGATAATAACTATAGGCATGTTCTGTAGTTTTATTTATGCTATCACTAAAAATATATACTAATGGTTATCACACTCCCTCCCCATTTGTCTCTCAAACAAAAACCAAGTAGAGTTCTTGTAACTGAAATAGTTCTAGCAGGTAATCATTGTGTTTAAATATTTAAAAATTAGCTGATGTTACCATTCAAAAGCAGCCATTGTTTAGGTTTTTGTTTCACTATTTTATTTCCTGTACCATTTCATTTGTTTAACACAAAGATTGGTAGCCATCTAATCAGGCTGGGAGTTATTTCAGGGAAAAACATAGACTCCATCAGCTAGGTGACTCGGTGGATAGAATGCTGGGCCTGTTGTCAGAGAGACCTGAGCTCAAAGCCAGACTCAGACACTTACTGTGTGTCCCATAAACTTCCCAAAATCCTGAAGTCCACTATGTCCGCATAATCTAATGGCTTTCTGTCTCTCTCTCTGCATCTGCATCTGCATCTGCCTTCCCATACCAAATCCTTCTCATAGTCCACACCATGACCTCCAATTACTTGACCCCTAAAGTCTCTCCCAGGCCACCTTCCCTGCATTTGCCACTCTTTTTTCATTTTTACCCTTTGGTGTAACAGTTCAACTCTACACTGTACTGTTCTCTTAGTCCCTTGCCTCCTTTTCGTATCACTAATCATGCCTTGCCAAGGTTCACCATTGATTCTTCTCATCATCTGCTTTCTTCTTTTATACACATACTGCTGGAAAAGGGGAAGAAAATCACACAACAGTCCTTATTTGGATCCACTACAAATTTATGTTATACAACTTCAATAGGGCCCTTATTGCTGTTGTTTGGTCATTCAGTCATTTCCAACTCTTTGTGACCCCATGGACCTTAGCATGTCAGGCCCTTCTATCCTCAGCTATCTCTTGAAGTCTGTTCAAATTCATATTTGTTGTTTCTATGACTCTATCTATCCATCTCATCCTCTGCTGGTCCCCTTTTCTTTTTGCTTTCAATCTTTCCTAACATTAGAGTCTTTTTCCAATGAGTTCCATCTTCTCATTATGTGGCCAAAGTATTTAAGCTTCAATGTTAGTATTTGGCCTTCCAATCAGTAGTGCGAATTAGTCTCTTTAAGCATAGACTGGTTTGATCTCCTTGCTGTCCAAATGACTCTCGAAAGTCCTCTCTAATACCCAATTCAAAAGGGTCAATTCTGCAGTGCTTAGCTTTCCTTATAGACAACTCTCACAACCACATATTGCCACTGGAGAAACCATAGCTTTGACTATACAACCTTTATCTGCAAGGTGATACCTCTACTGTTTAGTATGCTGTTCAGATTTGCCGTAGCTTTCTTTCCAAAGAGCAAGTGTCTTCAACTCACTAACCCACCATCCACAGCATTTCTTCCAAATTTTTCCATCCCCACCCAAACTCCTATGGTTCCCTCTTCCTCTATTCTCTCAGATGAAAAACCATGCCACATATTTTGCTTTTAAAAATGAGGCCATTCTCTTTATCTCCCTCTTCTCCTCTCTTCATCTTCTCTCACTCAGATCCTCCTTCACACTGTCTCATGTGGAATAGTGACCTTACTCCTTATTATCTGTACAACCATTGACATTCCATCCCATATCCTCCAA